CGAGGGCCCTGCTGGGCGGTTGCCGGCCAAGACAGACACTTCGCATCCCAGCCACACGGGGTAGAACTTAATCATCCCTGTGGTCTAACCGTAGATGGTACTAGTCCGTCAGCCAGCATGTGCCTGAGCCCCAGTCGCGTACGACTTAGGCAGCGGACCGCCTCGTCGAGGTCAGAAGACGCATTGATTCGAGGGGGTCACCCTGGAACCCGATGCATGACGAGATTGACAGTGACTGGAAATGAGTGTCGGAGACGAGTCGTGAGGATGACTTACGAAGCATGTACTTATCCAGTACACGAGAACACGTCGCGTAGGCTAGTCGGTACTTACGAACGATCGCGATTATCGCGAGAACAATTATGTTCTATTTGCTAAACGAGGGGGGATAAGAAAATGATAGAGAATTTATAAATTTCGCTGCAAGTTAGGTAGCTTACCTTTGTACAGATAGCGCGCACATGATACTTAGTCTAGGTATCTATCTTATCACGACTTAGGTCTACTTAGATCTAACGCACGCATCCCGTGTCGTCCATTAATGTGTCAAATGAAGTCTTAAGGAAACTTGAGAATCTTGAGAAATCTAAAAGCTAAAACAGAATATATTATTGTTAATATAAACCTGAAACCAAATGGATTAGTACAAGGTAAAGAAAACGAAGGAATAGAAACCATGAAGGTTAACCAAGTGGAAGGAGCAAGCCACCGATGAGACAGAAACAAACCAACGATGAGACATAAAGAAACCAACAACGAAACACTCGAATATTATACGAAATATTCGAATGCTCGAATGAAAATGAATAGAAACAAAAATATAAAATGTGGAAAGAAAGGAACAATTAAAATCTGAAAGAAAATAAATTAGACCAGAAATATAAAAATTATTAACAATCCAACGATGAGACATTCGAATATTGTACGAAATATTCGAATGTTCAAATATAAATGAATATATACGAAAAATAACATCTGAAATAAAAAAAAAATAATTAAAACCTGGAAAAATAAAAAATAATTAAAACCTGAAAAAAAAGAAAAATTAAAATCTGAAAACAAAAAAAAAATGATTAGTAAATTGTTTAATGGGGTGGGGTGAGGCTAGGGTAGCCATCCCCAACCTCACTTCGAACTCCCACCCCTCGCGCACTACGAAATTTAGATGTTACACTCGCGAAGTCAAACCGACAAATGAGTTCTCTTGCGTCGCGACGCTCCTTATATAGCCTCCGATCGGCCGAGCTCCCCACTCCGATCGAAAATTTTCGAACCTCGCAGATTTGATTAATTATTAATTTTCCGTTCTCATAGCCAATAATTTAAAAATTTTTTCACTGTTATGAAAAATTTACGTTGCTAGCAATTTGTTATTAACAATATTAATTTGTCATTAACAATCGGTGCAATTATTTATAAAATTTTTTGGAAATTGTATACACATTTTAACACAATTACGTCCTAAATTCAAATAATAACCAGTTTATTATATAAAATTTATTATTTTTTAAATTTTTATTACAAACTTACATTGTGAGCAATTTATTAATATTAATTGATTTCATAATTTATTTATTTTTATATATTATCTACTAATTTCAATAAAATTCAAAGGTTCTTAATTTTTCACTGTAAATTAATAATTATGAGTATATGTATTTTCAATTACCAGGTCTCACCACGTGTATATAGTGATACAGCAATTTCGATTATGGACTCGTTTTCAAAAAAGTAATCTCTACATGAATTACCCAATGAACATTATAGATTGAAATTCATGTTGAACAATGCAATTGCGAGAATACGATTAGTATTTACCACTGACATACGCTGTGATATGCGGTTACTAAGTTGGTAATAGCGGCAACACTATCGCGTGCATAAAGAAAGTGAGGTTAGGAGTAGTTCTATTTCTTTTATTTTTGTAATACCTGTCTTACATAATAAATAAAACTTGATGCACTTCTAACAATGATTGTATTCTTGCTTTCTCCCTTGAATGTTGAATCGTTCTTTTCTATTGTCCACTATTTTCATTCCTAACCTTCCAGAACTACCGATGTTTAATATATCCTTAAATAAATCATATACAATTAATACAAATTTGAGTGAAGTTACTTAAATAAATTAGTATATATAATTAATTTCTATCTTAATAAAAAAAACATCTTTATTTTTGTCTAAAACCTACTGCACATTTTCAATAACCAAAAACCCCAAAAACCTGGAACCAATGATTTTAATCTACATAGTATTTCCAGTATTAAAAAGTCGCTAAAATGTTCTCCGTTAGAATTATCACATATAAAATTAGAATCAATTATAAAATGTATTCTAAAAATATAATTATTTATTCTCTAACCCAACAATGTATCTACTTATAGTTGTCATATTTACCACTCTTATTCGAATTCCGAAAATAAATTTTCCAAAGAAAATAAAAAAGAAAATTTAGTATTCCTTGCAAAATTTCCTTTCGAACGTGCAAATTCGAACGAGACTAGAGGGCAACAACGTTCCCTGGAGGCAACCGGCTGGTTCAGGTGGCAGCACTGTTCTACGTGACGCGCCATCGCTGCGACGTTCTTCTAATTTCGATGTTTACCATTGTTTATTTCGGCGGACGCTTTGTCGACTTCGAACCGTTAATTAGGGACTCGAATCTCAAGTCTCCAAAGCGGAGTTTAGGTATAAATTCGGAAGTGGTATTATCTCGTAACAAATGCTGGGCATTCGAGCTCGCCGAGACAGCTAGGAACAGTCGCGACTGCTCTTCGTTCACTTGTTCGCGTGCATTCAATAAGTCTCTCGCTTCCAGCCGAATATTTCATCGCAAACGGGAACCGTGGTACAATCACCTGCGAGATCACTGTTTTCCCACAGCTAAATACATTCCACTCCCTCGACAGAACTTCGTAATTAAAATACAAAAATTCTCCCAATTTTTCCTCTTAATTAATCCTAATTAATTCCGAAAAATATTAACCTTGAAATTGAGACCGGAATTGATCTTCGAATTGTACGATGTGAATACCACGTTAGTTATTTCTTCGAGAAACATCGTCAGATGTTACAAATTTTAATATGGAGGACTGAAAATGAATATTTGAGCAAAATTCGTTGATTCATTTTGCGATAAGCTCCTATCCTTCGCTCTCGTCTGATCTATAGCTAGTTAGAGGCCTGTAGCAGTCTGATTGCAGACGAGCACGTTGCATTCTAATCGGCAATACCTTCTTATCCTGCATTACAGGTACAAAGCACAGTTCCATGGAGCGCGGCCATTTTTCCTCTACCATTTTATCTCGTTTCGCCTTTCATTCCCGAGCTAATTGTCTTATTGGGAAAAATTCAGTCGATCCTTTGTAAGGAACAATAGCCTGACTGGGGTTTAAGTTCGCGGAAAAGTGTGAAAAACACGCGAGAAAAATCGGGAGAACGAATTGTTAGTCGTGTATATTATATTTAAATTAACGTATTAAATATTTATCGAACGATATTATAGTAGAGGGTAAAAAATTATCGATGAAGTATATTTAAGTATGTTTACTCCTTCTTGTATAATACGCGTTCACACGTTAACCTCGATGAATTCTAAATTGCAATACATATATCCAACTACCATATCACGCTTCATTAATTACACGACACTGTTCGAAAAAGAATACTAACCTAAGAACCACTCATTAAATCTAACATTTAATATTCATTCGAAATTTAAAAAAAAAAAATTCAAATGTCACTCTATAGGTTATATACTCTATGAAACGACAATCCCAATATACGTCAAGTCTCTATTGACACGTCTCTCCACCAAAAGCTGTCACGAGATCGATATAAATTCCGTTTGATTTCCCTACTATCCATAGAAAAGGTAACCTGTAATATGGTATAAAATTTCTCGCAACGAGCTGTTCATTGTCCAAGAAGGAATAACGGAAACAGGAAGCATGGACGTCAAAGGCATCGAATGTTCATCTATCCGGTGTATGACAAAAGCTGAAGGGACGGAATATCGAGATAGCCCATGGTAATTTGAATACCGTTTTCAAATAAGAGGTCACCAGAAACCGGGACAAAATGGTTCCCTCCGTCCGGTATATATGACGTATGGTGGTTAATGGAAGCTCACAGGATGGCGGCTGGAAAAACGAGGGAACGGGGAAAGAGAGCAGGGTAGAGGACGGAGATGGACGGCGGGACGGTGAAGGGACGAAAGAGAAGACTCGATTACACGTCACCGGCAGCCCAGAGCCTATTTGGTCGCAATCGGTTTTTCATTACCGAAAGCTTCATCGGCTTTATACCGAATTGTACATTCGGCCAGCCCTCGTGAAACTCATCAAGATCGTACACGTCCTTTTGGAACAGCGTTTCGCGACTTTCTGGCTGGCGCTGAACGAGTAGCTATTGTTCAACGCTGATAGAACTCGATTTCGAGACGCATCGAAATTCTCGGTGCAATTGCTAACTCGATGACTGTTCGAGTAAAAGGTAGAGTAAAAGGTATTCCTTTCTCGTTTATTCTCGTGAAAGTGTATTCTTCAAGGGGAAATTCAAATTTTGGAAAAAGGAAGTAAATAAGTGAGGAGAATATCAAGAAATATTTCATGTGCTTCGTTGTTGACATATGCTACATTGCATGAGTCATTTGTAGTACCAACTTTGCATAAATGAATACTCAATTAAAATTGTATTTGAATACAGGGAAAATTTAAAGAAGTAAATTATAAGGGAATTATAAATAAGGAACTTTAAATAAATAAATCGAGAATTCATGCTCATGGTACTTCAAATAAACTGGTTCCGTTTCAGCCGATGAACGAGTAGTTTTCGAGAGAAAACGATACATATGCTGCCATCTATTCCGTGTAATACTAGTCACTGCGAATGAATTACTCAGAGAAACTAAAATAGATGGCGATAATGCTATCAAAATGTCTTGAAAACGTGTGACTTGAGAGTAATGAACTGATTGGTTATTTCTTTTGTATTGTAGACAAGACAAAAATAAATTATTCGTGCAACAAACAATATTGCAATATTAAACGATATAAATACCCGATATTTTATTGAATAAAGGAATTATTAGTGAGTCGATGAAAACGTCTTCGATGAAACGTATTGCAAGAAGTACGAAAATACTCGTGTAAGTGTATAAATAAAATATTGTATAAAATTATAGACATCCAGACATGTCATCCTCGCCAGAAAATACACCGTTGAAACAACCTGTAAGGCACTTGGAAATCCAAATTAATAACTTCAATGTGGCTATACCTCATCATGTTGATTTGTTAAAACGACATAAAGCTAATATTCAAAAGGTGAGCATTAAATTAGCACATTGGTTATGTGACACAAATCTGCATCATTTCTTTGTTCTTACAGTATGAAGCGCAACATGAATGGGAAAAAATACGCAGGGAACACATAAATGTATCCAGAATTATACAACAACTAAAAGAATTGTTATATCAACTGGATACTTTAAGGGCTCATGTTGTTGACTCTGATATTAATCAATTTGATAAATTAACAGCTAATGCTCAAACAAATATTATGAATACGATCAAAGAATATATGGGTAAGACAGATTATATTACTTACATTGGATGAAGCATTGATGCAGAATTTGTTTATTTGCATTTGTAGAGCTAGAATTGAATTTGCCCCTGTCACAGCCACAGTCATCCAAAGATGAAGATCAATCCAAAAGTGACCCACTTCAAAATAAATATGTCCAGCTGCAGGAAAAACAGCGAGACTTGCAACATCAAGAGGCATGTCTGCATGCTTGGAACACCTTGCAAGGAGATATACATCAACTGCATCAATTATATGTTGATTTTAACAAACTTGTAGATGTAAACTGTTTAGTTTATTCGAATTACTATTTTTGTGGTGATATATATGATTTTCTATTTATGTCATTAGGATCAAAAGGAACTAGTGAATACGGCAGAAGATGACATAGAAGAATCAAATATAAATGTAGACCAAGGTGAAAAATTCCTTAAAAAGGCGAGTAGGTACAATGTTGCTTTGTATCCCTTAACAGGAGCTGTACTTGGTACTTGTATCGGTGGACCAATTGGTTTAATAGCTGGATTAAAAATTGGTGGACTGACTGCCTTAGGCTGTGGTATTTTAGGCAAGTTCTACTATTATTATTTATTGTTACAGTTTGAAATTCAATGTATTTAAGATACTCTTTATATGTATATACAGGTTTTGCTGGAGCATCTTTGTTAAAGAAGAAGAAGATAGACATGCAGAAATCAACAACTGTGCCAGAATATGAATTAACTGGACAGCAAACAGCACAAAAATCAACATCTTTGCCTGAAAATTTGAGTGAAACAAAAAAGGAATTGTGACATATGCCAAAATGTGATATTAATGATAAGAAGAAAAAAAAGAATGGATGCACTGTTGTTTAATCCCAGAACACTGATATTATAATGATGCAATATATGTTTGAAGCATCATGGGATGTTTATTTTTAATATGTATATAAAACAAAAATACTTAACAAATTATTAAGAATATTGTGATTATTCTATTAAAATAGCTTGCAATTTATGACATAATTTTTTTCAGAAAAAAAGATTAATTTATTTGTAACACTTAATAGCTAATAGCGATGACAAAATAAGTTTTCTATATAAATTTGGACTTAGTAAAGATATGAAATTTTTCGCCGAGACCAAATCATATTATAAAAATTAAAAAGGTCCTTGTTAAAATTTTCTTTAACAGCATAAAAAGTTGGTATTTTTATCTATTTCTGTAAGACATCTACATTTACGAATGCGCCGTATAAATTACTTTTAACACATATTAATCGAATGAATACGATTGACTGAATAGGGTTATATTATTATAAATATTACGTCGATCGTAATGGCGATAATTATAATAGTGTTAATAAAAACAAACTCAAGAAAAATTGAAAAAAAACTCAATCAGGTGTACTTACAATAATATAAAAGCAGCCTCTATTTTATATTTCCACTGGTTCGACGTAATGAAGCACTCGCGTCTTTAAACACGCCTTTTATATATTTATTTTGTACGTGAGGTTTACAAAAAGTTATTGTATGCAAAAGTTAAGAGCTTATTGTTGCTTGTAAGCGATATTTGCAAATAAAATATTTAATATCATAAATGAACACCGCGACCAAATTTATGATAGAAATTTTACTTTGTGACTAAGGGAACGTTCAATCTACTGCGCAATGATCGTTTAAACCGCCATTGCGTATCGATCGATATATTCGATACGATATGGTAAGAGTTTCACGTCAAAGTGTTCCTGCGATTAAAATTTATACACAAGGTATTGAACTAAATAAAGCGTGAAATAAGCAGTCGTTCTTCATGGACTACCATCTACTTAAATAAAGTACGGGGAAACGAGATAAAACTTAGAAGTACTGTCTTCGCTACAAAAGGCACCCAATACAGTATATTTAGCAAGTAATAAAATACATCGGTGTTAGACACAGTACAATACTGAAATAATCATGTTATTAATGTAAATATATAATATATACATTTCGTTATAATGATGCAGATACTTAAATTTATAGACTAAAATGATCTACTTAAAAAAATATTAATAAATATCTACGAGCGTGTACAATTAAGTGACTATCGGTGTATCTTAAGGTACCGTGTTATTCCTTATTATCGTCATTTAATTCGACATCCCTAATTCAAAAGCAATACCAAACTTAGAACTGTGGAAAATAGAAAATTATTTACTTTCGTTTCGCTTAGTCTCACTTTCGAAGAGCGGGATGCTCAGCCGGATGCACCGATTTCATATGGCATGCTCACGATTTTCTCCTCGATTTCGATCCATCGAACGTTCGATAATTTCGATTCTCGAAAATGATCATGGTGTATGTATAATACAACTAAATTACGTCCCTCAAATAAAAGTAAACGATACGGGGGTGCATCAGACTGTGCCGGGAATTTTTTTTCACAATGGAACTACAATCTACAACTACATTTTCTAAATACCTTAATTTTTTCGATCGACCCCAAAATACGAACTAAATGGAGTTGGTCACTGTCCATAAGGTATCATTCAAATACCTTGGCAGACCTTGGCAATAACAATGGCTTGATCGACTGACTCGCTTGGAAGCAGCGTAACAATACAGAATTATATAACGGGATAATTGCTGATTGTTACATGCACCAACATGATTTTTCTTTCTTCGGTCGCTAGCTCACTGAGCGCGTGACTATGGTCGGAACGGTACAGGTGGATTGTGTGTTCTTGATTGGACCTTTAGCTGGAACGCGACGCAAAGCTCTTTATCGCATATGTTATTTAATACGCATAACTCGACACAGATGTCACAACGAGATTGCATATTACGATAATATACGAATTTCGCTTTGTGTCAGAACATCAGTCAACGAACCATAATCGAACCTGCACAGTTGAAACGCTAAGCTTCTCGGGCAAAAGAAATTAGCATGAGAAATGTGTATTACGTGAAACGTCTTTAGTTAAGCTTAACCTAAGCTTGCCCAAAACGTCCACGCAGAAATTGCGAAAGAAACATCCCTTAAATGTAAATTATTCTCCTTTGTAAATAGAAAAAAAAGGAAAAAAAAAGGAAGAAAAAGAAAGACAAAAGAAAAAGATAAAGGGTAGAATTTGGCTTTCGTGTACAGGCCAGAGTTAGGTTTACATCTACAGGTGATAAAAGGTTTTACAAATGACTGACATAAAAAGAATATAATATTATATATATTTAATATATAATCTGGAAATAATATTTAGACTATCGGTTATATTACTTGTGGCTATATCGTATAAACCTTTAATATTACATTATATTACAAAGTGGTATGTATGTGTGCGCATTGTTTTGACATTCCTGAAGGGACACGTTCGTTCGTGGTCGAAAACATTCAAGAAGGAGACGAACGATGTTCTCAGCTAATGGAATACCTGAAGAGAGAACGAAACGAAAACTGGTCTTCAGGTGTTTCATTAAAAAAAGAAAAAAAAAAGGTGGAAAAAGGAAGGAAAACATAATCCTCGCAATCTCAAACTGTGACATTACTTGACGATTACGCCTTCATTTCGTAGTAAGTGCGAACACAATGTGGACATGGAATATCGATATTTATTCACTACGCATATAAATAAAGTATAAAAGTACCATAGGCGAATGGTCGAGCAATTCAAGATAATATTTTCAGTCGCTGATTGATCAGGAATGCCAATGTTAATGAGAATAATGGCAACCGGTGCATGTTGTTTATGATACTGCAGCACATTGTGAAGCATGCAGCTATACACATATAGATTTTGTCGGAACACATCTGTATCTATGATCTTTCTCTTGAGCACGTTGGTGGATTCGAGGAGATAGTATAAGAAAATACACGTCGCCGTTACTTCTGAAAAATCAATGGTTTATAAAATTCAGACGTGACAACTATATATGCGATCACCTAGATCAATGAAATTCGAAGCGTATCAAAAAATAAATTCACTTGAAAGTTGAGCTCTCTGTCCGGGACACAAGGTAAAATGTGAATGTGTGTGTGTGTGTGGGTATGTATGTGTGTATGTTTTCGCCTCTTTACAAACTCTGTCGCACAGCCCAGAGTTTGTCTTAAATGCATTGCAACAGGCGCTCGTTACGGAACTCACGTGATAAGCGTAATGCAGCGATCTATTGGACTGTATTTACGACGTGGTACACGTCGCTTCATAGCTCGTGGTCATTCGTCGAGCTATGATTGCCCAAGAAAAATACGCGCTCTAATACTCTCTATTCAGTTACACGTATGTACGTGGACGTCGCCACTTTCCAATGAAAAACTGTATGCAATTCGGGTGAGTCACACTGCATTCACTATAAGACAACTTGCAAGTGAATCCACAACATGTATATATATATAATATATACTCTTCTATATCAGAGCCGTGCCGCCCTTTTCAGGGGTGACACTTATAAATTAATGGACATGTCTTGGTCGTAAGTGAGATTGGTGAGATTCGTGTCGGACGAAGAAGCCGAGGTAATTGTTGCAGTCGCGGTTGCGCTGGTCGGTGATTGGAGAGGCGTCGACGTCGTTGGCAGATGAGACGTGGGGCTTTCTAAAGTCGAGTTCCAGTGACTTCTTTCGGTTCCGTCGCCACCGTCATCCGAGACGATCGAGATATCAGCTATTATCCCACTTTCTGAAATCGTATCGATACGACACTTATATAGACACAAATTTTATTACGTAAACCATATTTACATTACCAATGTAGTAACCAAAATATCACGTACGTACCAACGCTACACTGACTGTTAAGCGTGGTGCTACGATGATGAGGTCGAGGACTGGTATCCAAACCGAGGTTCAACGTTGTAGGAGGGCCGCTACTTCCGCCGCTGCTCGATGATGAACTGACGGAAATTACGCTGTGTGGCCTCCTACTGCAGCGCCCCGAGTCCTCTGTCATTGATACCGCTATCGAGTTTCTAAATCTAGGTGCTGTTTAATGGCGAGCAATTAAATTAGTAGATTTAGGAGTCATTCGAGGTCACGTAAGGTCGTTGAAACACCATTTCTTTCAAAATACTGTCAGTCGATAGTCCACTTACTTTTCGAGAGTTGAGCTACACTAATAGAACGATCATTGATCTGATCCGCGCTAGGCCTAATGTCCAAACAAGGTTTATTTCCGATGCCCATGCTCGACATCTCCGCCAGGCGCACTTCTGTCGTCACAAAAGGCGTTCTCGTTAAGTCGGCCCCGCAAACACAGCTGCAGGAAGCTATATTTCAAAACGTAGCATACCTCTGTTTCGCAGCGCCTGCTTCCATAAAAGGTTGCTCAGTTCCTCCGTCCAGGCTTTCTTAATGTCCTCGCTTGCACACTGCAACGTGTACGTGTCGCCTGGTTTCCTCTTGCGGAACCAAATCTCGAACTTTGTAGGTGAGTCCGCAATTACGGCGGTTAACCCGATGTCCGTCGTTTTGATGCTGTGCTTGTAGATGTAGATATCGAGGTTCTGAAACGTCGAACAATCGTCGTACAATCTGAACATTCGTCTAGGACGTACATAGACAAAGTGGTTCACATGATCGTCTCACCTTCCTGTCGGGGAATCTTCTCGCTTTGCTGAAGAGGATAAGGTCTTCGAAAAGGAAAACCTGTCGCAGGCACTTCTTGCCTTTACCCTGCCATACCAAGAACTCGTTTTGACGAAGCAGCCTGCCCTGTTCCTTCACGTTCACCTACAATTTACATACATTTTATCGTCTATAGACTTTCCAGACTGCGACAAAGAACGCATTACATACACTCTCCATTGCCATTGTTGACACGACTGTCTCTTCTACTACATCATTATTAGTTAGTTACATTATCGCGTGTCTAGCATAGTATTTTATCTTATATACGTGGACGTACATCGCAATCTCGCAGGGAATCCATCGCCAGCAGGTCGTTTCCGTGCCGTAGTTGGAATCGCACCATCTGCTCGGCCGCCCTCAAGTCAGTCTCCCCCTCGACCATCGGTTTCATACTGTCGTCCTTTTCGTCCTTCTCGTCTTTGCCGGACATTTGTTCCGATAGATCGGTGCCTGCCTTCACCAGCTGCTGCAGCAACAACGCGTACTTTCCCATTCGCTGAACCGGCTTCAATAGGTAACTAGCCAGGTCCATCTTGTCGCCGAGCTCGAGCTGCTTCTGCTTGAAGAACGCGGTGCCATACTCAGCCATCAGGGAATCCGAATTTGGCTTGTTCTTGTTGTACAGCGCGTAAAGGTAGAACTTCTTCTCCTGCGTAAAAGAGCAAAAGTGAGGATCAATGATGCAAAGAACGTAGAACTGCGGAATTCTACGGAAGCTCGAGAAAAACTTAAGGGAGAGGAAGAGTACTCACGTGTCTGAGGAAGCACTGTCCCACATTCATCGGCGACTGCTCGCACTGTTCCAGTTCCCGCAGGAAATAATGACTATGGAACTCGTATATCTTCTCGACGTTGCCGAAGATCACGTTGCGCTGTCCCCTGAGCGCCTGAGGAATGTCCTCCCGCACCAGCTCCGGGATATAATTCTTCGGTAACAAACAGTGGTGGACGTTAATCGCAAGATCGGGTGAGCACGTCGCGTCGAGAGTGTTAGATGGATAGCATTAGACGAAGTGAAACAGTTACCTCTATTATGTACTCGAGAGACTTCACGTAGTCTCGTTCGGTCTGTATCATTTCCCTCATTATGAGCAGTATTGTTCTGCAAGGTGAAATTCCTCGTTAACCATGCTGCCGGGCACGTAACAATTCCGCATAATCGCACGATGGAATTATTATAGATAAGCATTGTTAGCATGGCTGACGAACACGGAAGCAGAATCGTACGAAAACGTAACGCGAAATCTGCCATCTCCCACGAGGGGCTTCGAACACGCTTTATGCGAGGAACTTCGATGTTCCTGGTGAAAAATCACTAACGAGAATGTTAATCAGCCTGGCAACAATAATCACGCGCTAACTGTGCACAGCCTGGTTCCACGACAATCGTTATAAAGTCGTTAGAACGAACAGACAATCACAGCTTAGCTACCATTCTGCCATAACGCGAGATCCATTTACGTACTTCTTCGCTTTCATTCCAGGAGCAATGCTGGCGGCTCTGTGAAGGTGCGAGTTCACCGGTGGTTTCACCAGCCGCCTCGGAGCCGGACTTCGGGGTGGTGTCCTCGGTGGAGAGCAATCGAGCAGCTGTTCGGCGCTCTCTCGAAGCTCTGCGATGTTGTCCAGTACTGGTCGACCGCCACTTCCTGCCGACCCTACGCTCTCCATGGGACAAGTGTACGATGCGCTGCTGTCACTGTCATCCCACGAAGTTCCTGGAACAATCGTGGCACATTGAAGAGGAGGAACGCTGCCAAGGGTGACCTGGGCGAGCGAACGAATCTCGTACTGTCTTCAACTACAACTACTTTTTCGACTTTATCACGTGGACAGTTCCCATATCGTGTTTCGAATGTTAACGAGCACAAGGTTACATAAATTAAACATGCATATCCATATGCACTAAGCTTTTATCGGCTTTTGAACCTGGAACGCGAGTCCATCGAGTGATAGATCGTTCGCTACTATCTGAACAAAAATATCCACTTCTAAAGAGTACAAGTCTACCTAGTTTCTGTGTGTCTGACAAGGATAGAGTTCCTAACTGCTATTGCGTATACTATACGAAAGACTGGAGTCTAAACGACCACGGAGTTACGTACTCTTGGTCAGACTGTCCTCCCAGGAGGTAGCAGACTCCGAGGCAGCGAAGGATCTCCTTCTGGCAGGGCTGCCTGGTGCGGAAGTGGTCCTCGCCATCTCTAGCGCTTCCGCGCACTTGTTCCTGGCGATACGGCATTGTTCCAGAAGGATCTCGTTACCGAGCTTCTCGGCCAGCGCCATCATTTCCGTGAAATGCTCGGGCGGCAGGGGTGGTCTGGCCATGAGGAACTGCTGGGCCCCCCGTTCGCCGGCGAGACGGGCCTCCTGGGCCCACTCGTACGCCCGGTCTTGGAGCAGGCAGCATCTCGACGTGTCTTCGAGGTACTCGCGCCTGTCCTCCAGACGGGAACCGAATCCTCGAAGGTGGTGCTTCAAGGATCTTGCGAGCTCGCGCAGCCCACTCGCACTCGCCGCCTCGGCAAGGTCGCTTCCTTTGTCAAGATGTCTCTGGAACAGAAAGCAGCGATCGATGATACACGTGTCGTTATATTACATGATTATTTCGCTATGGATGATCTTATGAGCGTTAGTGTTGTTGTACAAACTGAATACTAAAATGAACTATACATTCTATTATCCAAAATTAATTCTGAATTATAATATTTATTGTAAAAACGAATTTTTTAAATAAAATGTAGTACTATCATTTCGCTGTTTCATTGGAATATAAAGGTCACCTTGAGTTGTATAACCATAATTTGTAACATTCGAAAATTATTAACTATGATAGCTATTAACTTTTGACTTCATATAACTTTATAAATTATACCCTATCGTCCAAAATTACTCCCAAACAGTAATACTATCATTTCGCTACTTCATTCTAATATAAAGGTCACCTTGAGTTGTATAACCATAATTTGTAACATTCGAAAATTATTAATTACACTAACTATTAATATTTGACTTCATGTAACTTAATAAATTTCACACGACGTTTCCTTTCGATATAATATATTCGAACATAACCTCAAAGAGCAACATAACCTCGTGAGCCAAGTCCACGTGAGTTTTCCGAATTATAAATATTATAAAATTAATAATTACTAATATTCCTTCCAATTAATACTATCCAATATTACACGTTATACCTAGAAAATTCGAGATAACCTACAAATCTTAGCTCTACGACTTAAGTTCCGATGGCGCGTGCCATAATCGACATCAACGTTTGTCACACGTGGAGCTATTGCAAGAAGAGCACGTGACCGAGGTAGAAAGACCGACGAAAATTAATCACGAGTCTTTATTAAACACTTCAGAAGCACGTCTAAATTACTATTTCCCTAGCTACGAAAATTGCTAATTTTTCCCTTTTTTCCCCCCTTTCAAAAGACTTGACCCCCCGAATGCTAAAGAATTGTAAAAATCGTAATATTTTTATCTTTGGCACGACGCTTCGTTCTAAGGAAGGGACTCCACAGGGACGTCCGCCATAGCAAAAGGGTTAATAAACATCTATACAGTTTTTCCACCGTTTCCACTGATTTTTACTTCTTTGCATTATAATCCCTTAACAGTTAGGATGACGTTAGGGTAATGGTGCACGCGTCCCCGGAAGATTGATCGCTATGAATCGAACAGACAGAGCAAACGACCGGGTGATGCGCGTCATTCGCGGATTTATAGCTTCTTCTAGGTCGCGGTTCCTCTAGAACGGTGTTTGGTCAGATTTGCCATGAATACAATATCGTGTGTAAACACGGGAAAGTATTTCACAGGACAGGGCGTATCGAAAAGGGAACAATGAAGACCCTACTTCTTCGATGGAAACGATATCCTGTTCACGATAGATCCAACTGGAACTCCCGTGGTGCAGTAGGGAACCGTGCCTAATGGCGGGACCATAAATCGACATATGGGGAAAGGAACGCAGCGATGAGCAAGGGAGCTCGTGCTCCTCGCTACGGGACATTGTCTATTTGTGCACGGTGGCGAGCGGGAAGCTGTTTACACAAAACCTACTCTATAGGGTGTTCACCTAATACTAGCCATTCATTCGTGAGCAGCGTCGCGAATTTTTCCACTAAAAATTAATACAGTCACTGCGAATGCAAGGCTCTCAAATACGGTACTCAAATTCCGTCGATTCAGAAATTCACCGTAACCTCGAGTGTACAGCAGCCAGGACATGTCAGGAGGGCTATCAGTGTCGGATCTCGGAACAGCGTACAACGGTGTTTCGTTGGGACGATAATAAAGAAAGCGATTTCACCGGCCGATTTTCGATACGTCCCGCTGGGATAACTGCCCCTGTGCATCCTCTTCCACGCAAGCAACGCGCAGTGGAAGCGTGAAATCCCGTTGGACACGGATCGGTAAAATGGTGGAACAGGGACGCTCTCGATGAAGTATCCGTGACGAAAATGCATCGCGTCCCAGGGTACATCAGCTCCTCTCATAAATGGGATAGATGGGTCGTGCAACTGTTCAGCTTGTTCTACAAATTTACGCCTGCGATCCGACATTTGTCATCGGGCTCGGTGGACCATCAATTCTCCCAGTCCTAAACGAACGTATCCTCGTACACACACGTGGATTGCGACATGCATCACCAGGCAAACCCGAAGAATCGATCGAGGCAACTTCCAGAGACCTCGAACAGACGGGATTGTCGGAAGGTATTTAGAAAATTGAATTACGAGGAATTGTTCCGGGAGCACTCTGGATCAAAGTTTCTACGTTTCGCGCTTCACGGTCGAATGAGGACGCCGTTGCCGCAGGAGCCTTTGAAGCTAGGGGTAGGAACCTACCTAAGCCAGTGCTCTGCGTGTTTGCCCACTTCTCGGACACGTGGCCAGATCCCTTGGGGTCTTAGGCCATCGGAAAGGCTCCTCTGTGCTCTGAGGACGGACGTTCGCGACACGTGCAGCGACGTTAACGATGTATACACCGTGGATATCGTTGAAGTCTGGCCCGCAGCTAACGAGCATCGTTAACAAACGCCGCTGTAAAATTACTCGTTCCAGCGGTATCCATATCGCGGCAATCTTATCAAACGTTCAATAGAGGAGAACGTGTATGACTCGTTACGTGCTAGTAAAAGTACCTTACGATCGCGTGCCAGATTAGTCGCAAGGCGTCCAGACCTTTTTGCGAAAATCTGTAAAAATCGCTAACAGCTGGCGCGCTATTACGATCGCGGGGTAATAAAAATTGCGAAACTGTTACATAAAGTTGGCCAGTCTAGTGAGGTATTTTTGCACGGATTCGAGCTGACATAACGGGCAGAGGTTCGATAATACGGTATCGCAATTTTATTACGATTCTTCGCGGTTAAGCGAGAAAGATGTTGCATTATCTAGCAGCTTTCGAGCGATCGTTTAGCGTCTATAGGGCAAGATTCCCTGTCGAAATCGATGCGTAGTATTGCGTAAATTTCGAAGTCGCTGCAACGTCGACCTTTGCACGGCGACTTCGCGTTCACCATGGGGGCTCGACTTCAATCGAGTAACAATTCTCTGTCTACGGTTCGGTAATAATCTGACTGGCTTGACAGCAAGCAAAATGACTAGTTCCAGATATTTTATATTTCAAACTAAGGAAAATGTGCAGTCACATTTGTCGAACTTAATGTTGCCTTCTGTAGACAGAGAGGGGTATTAATTGCATATTTATTTTCATAATACTACTTCGATTATCATTATCTATGATTGTATTTATCTATATACATTTAATCGATGGATCGTGTCACAATGTGTCACAAATTTTATTTTAATTCAAATTCAGGCTATTGGATATAATTTGTATTTAAACTGTGCACGAGTCAAAGTGAATGGCATAGCGTTCGATATTTTGTCAAATTTTAATGTCACAGCAATAAATAACTAACTTCCTAATTTTAAATTCGATTCAAATTCAGGCAAACTAAATTTTAATGTCACAGAAATAAATAATAAACTTCTTAATTTTAGACTCGATTAAAATTCAGGCAAACTGTGCACGAGCCAAAGTGATTGACATAGTATTCGATATTGTGTCAAATTTTAATGTCATAGCAATAAATAATTAATTCTATTTAAAATAAATTTCCATTGAAATTCAGACTATTGAATATAATTCGTATTTCAACAGTTCAAAGCCAAAGTGATTGATATCGTGTTCGATACTTTGTTAAATTTAATGTCGCAGCAATAAATAATTAACTCTTTCTATTTTTCGTTTCGTTATCCCGAATTTATATCAATCTCCAAAGTACATGAACATAAAGCTTTACTCACAATGATCAGCTCGTCATGTCCAAGCTGTCATTTCAGATACGTCAACGTGAATCGACCATTGACCAAAACTAATGTGCCAATAGCACAGCTCGTAACCCTAGTTTCAATTAGGATATCGAACCTTTCGTTCACCGTATCGCTCGAACGATTGCAAATGGCTGGCAGGGTGCGTGAAATATCGGAGGGTGGCAGACGTGCCTCTCCATCGCGTTTAATCAACCGAATCATCATGCGGGACGCGCTCAGCCTCTCCCACTCTGCCAACCGGAAGTCTCGAGAGTCCCCGCGTTTCGTTGACTCGGGTTCACGTGAAAACTCGCCCGCATCCTTACGAAACCGAGTGGCCCGCATTCGCTCAAGCGAAGCGGCCCAAAATCTCGCGATCGAGGCTGCTATCGCGTCCCCGTTAGAGAAATCACGCCGTGTTAGCCTAGTCTATGGAACGCCGCGAAAGTATGCGCGTGCATACCCCGTTCCACCGTATTTCCATATTTATAAGCGCGTTACGAGCGGGCACTGGCACGGCTGCTCGCGACCATGTTTAATTAATTTACCGAAAACACGACAACTCGTAACGGGCTACGTGTTTCGATAGGCCAGGATTCTTAAAAGGACCAGTTCCTTCGGTTAATGGCGATCCAATGGATCCAGAATGGTACGAATCGGTACTTTTACACTGTTTCTTTCCTTCGATATTAGGCAAGGATTTTTATTACCGATGTAATATTAATTTACTATATAATTATTTATTTCGGCGAAAAATTCTTCGATTTTTGGAAAATGGAAACATATAAAGAAACGAAAATTAATATTTGTTCGCTAAAAGGGTCCACGTATCCCCAGAAACTGGAAAAATAAGGTATTCCTAGCGCAAAGTCGCGAGCGCCATTAACTACGCAGCGCCGATAACTACGTAGTGCCAATAACTACGCAGCGCCACTAACTACGCAGCGCCACCCCAGCGACTACTCGCGAACTAAGATTCAATAAGAACTAAGAGCGGCGTAACACGGGTGCTCTCGAGATTTCGCAATTGATACGCATTAGCTTCCTCACCGTTCCGACTATTACAACGGCAAATAGCATAATCGAACATCATCATTAACCGCAGTTCTTGCGCGCGGCGATCGCAAAACCTGCCGGTTCCCGCCATTAAACAAACACCGGGACGTTGCGTAATGGCGCGCGACGGTGCATCGTCTGGCCGCGTATTTGGAACGCCTGGAC